GCGGCCGGGGAAGGTGGCCGCGGGCTGGAGCCGCGCGATGTCGCACGGAGCTGGACTCGTCCGCACCACGTGCAGCACTGGCGCCGCGCTCGGACCCGGGGCCGGCTCGGGGCAGCTGGGGGCGAGCCCCTCGGAGGGGCTGCTGGACCCGGTCTACCCCCGCACCCACTCGGCCCTGCTGAAAGCGGCGCAGATGGTAAGCGAGAGCCGGGACTCGCGCGGGGGTGGCCAGAGTGGCCGCGAGGGGAGCGATCCCGGGAGGACGGGCGCCGCGAACCCGAGCCGGGCGGAGCCGCCTGGGCATCGCGCCGCGGGCGGGAGACCCCTGCGTGAGCAAGTTCTCGAGGCTTCCTCCCGGGAAGTTGCGTGTGCAGCCGCCGCGCCGGGACCGAGCTCGCACCCCGCCCTAGCTCACGCGAGCTCGGATCTCCAGGCACCCAAGTTTCCCCTGACACCCCTCCGGGGCCTACCCCGCCTTCCGATAGAAACCGAGCGCAAAAGTTTCTTTTCGTCTTCCTTCCTCTTCTCTGGGCCGCGCTACTTCGAACCCGAGCCAGGAGGTGGGGGTGGGGGTGGGAATGGGGGAACCGAGGGAGAGATGGCGAGGGGGTGTGGAAGAATCGCCCTGGCGGCGGCGCGGAAGCTCGAAACTCGACCTCCTCCCGGCCCCAGGCCTCCTCTCTCCTCCCAGCGCTGCGCAGCGCAGCGGGCTTTCCTGCCCCGTGCGGTTTCCCAGCGAGGAGGGAAGAACTGGGTGAGACCTTTGGGACAGCAACCCCCGACCCCTACCTGCTCGGGTTTCCACGGAGAGTCCAGGTCACAGGGAACCCCTGAAAAGCAGATGACCAATGGGCAAGGCCTATTTTGAGGAGCCAAAACTTATTTGGGGAGCTGGAGTGGTGTGGAGCGCCTGTGGGATGGGGGGTCACCTGTGGAAGCAGGCAAGATAAAGGGATGGACTCTGAGAGAGACCCACAGGGGCCCTCCACCCTAGACGCTGACCTTGGCGAAGTGTCGCGTTGTCACTCGGCCTTTTTTCCTTTCCCCATTTTTTTCTTCCTTAAAAGTATTTATTTTTAAGCACCTTTTCCATTTGTTGAAAGTGTATTGAAACTGGGTGGGGCTGGTTGCGACTCTGCATTCACTGGAAGGTTTGCAACTAGAATGGTGGAGGAAGGGCTTAGAAGAGGGCTGTGGAGGAAGGAATTTGGGCCTAGCCTCAAGGCCAGGACCCTGAAGCTGGGGCCTGCAGAGATAGCCCGCACCGGGGACTGGACTCCGGATGAGAGCTGCCAGCGCCCACAGCAGTGTTACTGGGGTGCCCAGTGTGTGTGGGGTTTTGTTTCCTACTTGACCCAGACCTGGGGTATAGGGGCTGTGTTCCTCTTGTCTAAAAGAAGGTCTGTAGATGAACTAAAAATTAGGAAGTAGAGGCTCTTAGGTACTAACAAAAAAAAAAGTTGTTCTCAGCATTGTTGGTTTTGAGCAAGAAGTTTTTGACTTAGGCTAAAAGCGCTGATCGGCCCCATCCTTAAAACGTGAGTGAAGTCGTGAACATTGAAAGTCATATCATCCGTGGCAGGTGAGTTTAGTGGGACAAATATCAGATCAGAAGCTGCCATCTTGGTTCATTAATTTGACAGGCCAAGATGGTAGAGAAATGTCCACATCACTTTAAACTCCTCCACCAGCCACTTGTCCACAGCCCCTGTGCTAGGTAACACCCCGAGGTCCATGCCAAAGAAGGCACCATGGACTTGGAGGGCTGGTTCTCTGTGTGCCCTTCTTAAAACCACCCCCACAAAATTCTTACACCATCCTCCTTCCCTGGGGAGGCCCTTGTGACTGCAGGCTGGTTTGGGCAGACCTTCTGGGAATGAAGTTGCCTTGGAGGGTGGTCATATGACAGCAGAGCTATTCAGGACTATCTACTTGGGCCTCTTGGCTAAATCCTTCCCGTTCTGGTTCTCCTCTCCTGGGGTGCCTGCTTGGACATTTGATTTTTCACTTGCCTTACCTTGAAAATACTTGTGTAGAAGTAGCTAAACTGTTGCCACCATTGGGTACTCTGTGGGTACTCTAATTTGGACCATTGATGTCTCACTTGCATTCTGAAGACATCCCCTAAAGTCTAGGTCTTCTCACCATGGCCTGTTTCACACACCTTAAGAAAGCACTGAAAGGCTGTCCCCTTGGAGAACTTTCTTTGCTTTGAGTGTCTCTTGTGTCTCAAATTTGGACCATTGATGTCTCACTTGCATTCTGAAGACATCCCCTAAAGTCTAGGTCTTCTCACCACGGCCTGTTTCACACACCTTAAGAAAGCACTGAAAGGCTGTTCCCTTGGAGAACTTTCTTTGCTTTGAGTGTCTCTTGTGTCCACCACCACTGCCACAAAATGAGAAGGTGAGAAAATAGGAAGAAAGATTTATTTCTGCATGCAAGAGCTTGGGTGTAGGTAGGCCAGAGGTACTGGGTTGAGAGACGATGACTCACCAGAGGCAGAGTGGGGAGCAGAACAGGCAGATCTACTGAAATAGACAGCTGAGGGGAGCAGCGCGTAAGACTGGACAGGTCTGCTGCGCCATGTGGGTCAGCTGCCTGGCTGGGGATCGAACTCAGTGCCACACCAACTGTGGATGACTTCATAGTACTGCACTTTCCTCCCTTGCGCCTGCAGGGAGGTGCCTGACATGCCATTTCAATGCATCCTTATGACTCTGTGGCCACAGTGGTTTCATTTCTTTGGTCTTCCGCTATGGACTAGAGGCACAGTCAGTTGCTGCATCTCAGGAACTAGGTTTTTTGTTATTGTTTATGTGAATAACTCTCTGTTGAGCCCTCCTGTTGTTCTCACTGGACATGACATACTGTATACGGTGTATGTTCTTAGATGTTTTTCAGAATCCAGTGAGGTAACGTGTTTGGCAGATGAGGAAGCTAGCTTAAAGGTTGAGCTACTAACATACATCAGCTCTCAGCAGCAGCCTGGGCCAACCTAGGCTTGGCTGGCCTCCCATCCCCAGGGACCCACTTGTTAGTAGAATTGGGGTGGCTTAGTGACGTGCCTCTTCACACCCAGTTGATGTCAACAATGAAATAGAAATAATAGCAAATGGCTGAGATGTTGGGGGGGGGTTGCATGGGAAGTAATCAGATGTACCCCATGGGAACGTAAAGTGATGCAGCCACACAAGGAAACGTGTGTGTACGTGAAGGGTCACAACAGCATTATTCATCTTCACCAGAGTAGAAACAACCCACATGCCCACCACCTAGTGAATGGATAAGTAAATATGATATAACCACACAAAGGAATATTATGCAAAATATGAATGAAATTCAGATACATGCTGCAATTTGGATGAGGTTTGAAGCATGTGAGAAGTGACTCCGCTTGTGTTAAATGCCCAGCTCTGGCACTTCACTTATAGAGCGAGTAGATCAGTGGTTGCTTAGGACTGGGGGGTTTAGGAACAGTGAGGAATGCTGCTACTGGGTAGGGGGTTGCTTTTGGGGGGGATGAAAATATTCTAACATGGGTCACCAAACTGAATAAAACCATTGAACTGTATGCTTACATGTATGAGTTGTGTCTCAGTCTGTTTTAAAAAATTCAATGTGGGGAAGAGTGCAGGGAGTACTTTGAATGAGGCCCCGTGGTGAGAGGGTACAGCTATGCCTCCAGAAACTCCCTGATGTCCCCCCGCATCCTCTATTAGAGGGAGGAAGGTACACCCATAAAACTCAAAGTCTGAGCTAAAGAACCAGGTCTCCTCGCATCACAGGGTACCTGGGAGGGATGTCGAGGATTTGAAGGCATCCAGACACCCGGGTTGTGGTGGTCTCACCAACGCTCCCCGTCAGTGACATTGTTCAGTGGGCACCAGGAGTGCCACAGCCATCCCCTGTCTTCAGAAACAAGGCTGTGATTCTGCTCAGGCGACAGGCAAGTCCCCAACCCTCTTTCCAGGGAGATGACAGCGCCCTGGGTTGCCCTCAGCAAGGAAAGATGAGGTTGCCCTCAGGGCCGGTGGTTGCCCTCTGCAAGGGAAATGAAGGGGACATCTGAGTTGACTCTTGAGTCATCAGAGTGAGTTTGTAGGCTTTGGCGTGCCCCATTTACTTGGTGTGTGTAAGTTGGGGATACGTATATTGGTGTGGTAAAAAAGAGGTAGTTGGCCCTCCCTGGTGGCGCAGCGGGTTAAAGCACAGCACTGAGAATCTAAAGCCGCTTCCGCATGAGTTCGATCCCCGCCTGCCCAGGAGGTGACCACATGGCGCGGCGGACCTCTCCTGACCCGCCCGCTGCTCCCCTCAGCAGTGTACTTCGTCGATCTGCCTGTTCTGCTCCCCACTCTGTCTCTGGTGAGGCCTCTCGCCACCCCTGAGCCTTTGGCCTGTACCCCAGTTCTGTATGCACGAATAAGTAAATCTTAAAAAAAAAACAGAGGTAGCTAGCCAGACAGGAGCCAGTATTTAGTTTGTTCTTACCTCCCCACTTCCAACATTTAGAAAGGATGTCACCTTATTTGTTGAGCAGCTGCTATGCTCTTAACTGTGTGAGGCATGTGAAATACAACAGTTAACGAGATAGACCCTTTCTGCCATGGCAGAAAAAGAGAGACCATGATATTTGCAGAACTGTAATATGGAAGGAGAATCAGAAAGTAGTTTCATAAGCAGCAAAGATGGAAATCTAAATGTCTTCCAGAAGGTTTGTTCATTTATTCGGCAAATATTTGAGCACCTACCATATGCTAGGGCACTGTGGAAAGAAGTGTAAACAAGACAGATCAGCTCCTGTCCCCCTGACACTCTAATCGGGAAAATAAACAGTAATCAAATGATTATAAATATAGAATTATAAACTGGAACAAAAGCTGTGAAAGAGAGGTATTCTGTACCATAAAGAAATAACCAGGGGCCCTCCCTGGTAGCACAACGGGTTAAAGCGCAGCACTGCAGCGCAAGTTTGATCCCCGCTAAGGAGCTGACCCACATGGCACAGCAGACCTCTCCTGTCTCTCCCACTGCTGCCCTTAGCATTGTATTTCAGTCAATCTGCCTGTTCTGCTCCCCACTCTGGTGAATCCTCTTGTTCCCTGCACCTCTGGCCTGTACCCCAGTTCTTGTATGCATACATAAATAAATCTTAAAAAAAAAAAAAAAGAATTAACCAGGAGGTCTCATCTG